ATTAGCCCATAACAAAGCCCATGTGGATAGAGCTCACTAATTATGAGCCCGAATTAATAATCCGGCAACTACTGGTGCTCAATTAGCAGATGGCGGAGCGATTGATACTGATATTCAAGCATACTTGACATCCAATTTCAAAATAAATAAGGTGTGAAGTTATTATGTACCTTTATTTAATATCATTATAAATAATTAATTTCATTTCCCAAGATATTTTATATAATATCCAAATAAATAAAATAAGATAAATAACTATTAGATATCTAATTCAATCTGTTGAGAATCTAAAAAAAATATTCATCACAAGAGTGGAATATTAATAAATATTATAAAATTTGAAAAAAGAAAATAATCAGTGATAATTACCATTATTATCTCCAATAATTGTCACTTTATTGGAATTCACAGGTTGGGGAAGGTTTGTAAATTTTAATAATCTGCTAGTATAAACAGCATTTGGATGAATTACTGCAGTAATAATTGATGGATCAAATTTTATTTCATCCATTTCATCAAACTCTTTTCTAATTGATTCATAATCTCCAAAATTCTGATAATCTAATGAATCATACCAAATCTTAATAGTATTATAAATTTCATTAGCAGTTGGACGTTTATCTGGATTGGCATCCATGCATTTGAATGCTAGTTTAATATAGAATTTTGGTGTGTTGTTTGAAAATCCAGGTCTTATACCTTCACATATTTTCATTGCAAGATCAAAATCATGTGCCAAATTATTAAATGGTTGTTGGCCAGCTGAAATTACAGACATCAGAACTCCAAAACTATATATGTCTGATGCTGTTGTGTATGTTTTCCCCTTCAAAACTTCTGGTGCAACATATGGTAGCACTCCAAATATATCATTTTTGTTTGATGATGATGTTTGACTAGCTGGGCATGATAATCCTAAGTCTGCAATATATGAAGCAATATGAAATTGAAGAATATTACCACTATGAAGATCACGATGAATAATTTCTTCTTTATGAATATCTTTTAAACCAAAAATAATATCTTGAAGAATTTTAATTTTGTCTTCCCATTTTAAATTTTTAAAATTTTCTGTTAAATAATTTTGAAGACCTCCACTTTCCATATGTTGCATTACAAATATATATTCTTTTGTAATTGGATCTTGTGTTAATCCATAAATATGGATTATTTCTACTTTATCATGAAACTTCATATAATTTTTGAACTAAAATAACAAATAATATACTTAATCACAACAATAAGAGTCAAAAAAATCTGAAACTAGTATTAATAAAATAATTTACCTCATTAAGAAATTCATCAGAAATATTCTGTGAATTGTGTAGTTTTTTTAATGCCACAATTCTATCTATACTGTATCTTCTTTTATTTTCAGCATATTTACTACCATTTAACCAAGTGGCTTTATATATAGTTGCAAAACCACCTTCACCTATCTTTTCAATATTTGTTATATCATTATAAGGAATCCATTGAAGATAATAATGATTACTATATTCAGTTGCTTTAAGCTGTGTACTTTTTTAATCAACTCATCTAATGTTTCATTACCACTAGTCCATCCTTCAGTTAATAATTTTGGATCACATGATTGACACCATGCCTGATTAGTATTGTATCCATTGCAAATTGGACATTCCCCATAATCTTTGTTTCTTTCTAATAAATTATAAATTTTAAAATTAAATAAAATGAAAATAATCAATAGTTAAATGTTAATAATTACCATTATAAAATTTCACAGGTTGGGAAAGACTTGTAAATTCAAATTTTATTTTATACATTTTATCAAACTCTTTTCTAATTGATTCTAATTCATCCTGCTGTTCTTTTGAATATCCACTCAAATTATTTATTACAAATGAATCATCCCAAAATTTAATAATTTCATGGACTTCACTAGCAGATGGACGTTGATCTGGGTCAGTATCCATGCATTTTAATGCTAGTTCAATATAGAATTTTGGTGTGTTGTTTGAGAATCCAGGTCTTTCACCTTCACATATTTTCATTGCAAGAATAATATCATGTGCCAAATCATCAAATGGTTGTTGGCCAGTTGATAATACAGACATCAGAACCCCAAAACTGTATACATCTAATGCCATTGTATATGATTTCCCCCTTAAAAATTCTGGTGGCATATATGGTATTACTACATATGTATTTTTTTTGTTTGATGTTTGACTAGCTGGACATGATAATTCTAAGCCTGTAATGTATGACTTAAACATATTTTCTTTAGATTGAAGAAGAATGCTGCCACTACGAAGGCTATGATGAATAATTCCTTTTTCATGAATACCTTTTAAACCAAAAATAATATTTTGAAGAATTTTAATTTTGTCTTCCCATTTTAAATTTTTAAAATTTTTTGTTAAATAATTTTGAAGACTTCCATCTTCCATATGTTGTATTACAAATATATATTCTTTTGTAATTGGATCTTGTGTTAATCCATAAAGATGAATTATTTCTACTTTATCATGAAACTTTATATAATTTTTGAACTAAATAACAAATAATATACTTAATTGCAACAATAAGAAAAAAAAATCTGAAGATAAATAGAAAAATAAAATAATTTACCTCATTAAGAAATCCATCAGAAATGTTCCGTGAATTGCGTATTTTTTTTAATGCCACAATTCTATCTCTACTGTATCTTTTATTTTCAGCATCAGCATATTTATCACCATTTAACCAAGTAGCTTTGTATCTAATTGCAAAAAGACTTTCACCTGTCTCTTCAATATTTGTTAAATCATTGTAAGAAACCCATTGAAGATAAGATTCATTACTATACTTGGTTGATTTAAGCTGTGTGCTTTTAATCAACACATCTAATGTTTCATTACCACTAGTCCATCCTTCAGTTAATAACTTTGGATCACATGATTGACACCATGCCTGATTAGTATTATATCTATTGCAGGTTGGACATTCCCCATAACGTCCTTCTCTAATATATGAATAATATGAATATTCATCATCATTTTTGTGAGTGGAAGTATCATCAGGATGTCTATTTTCATTTAAAGCATTTTCCATTTTTAAAAATTTATTATAAAAAATTCTTTTCTAAAAAATGTTTTTTTTAGCCACAAATGTACAGTATATCACATGAACATAAAATAATAAATTTTTTACAGCCGAGACATAATAAACAAATATTATTACAGTCTGACAAATTAAAAATATTTGTCACGGCGGATTTTATTAATAAACTTGCATCACAGTGTTAACAATTTTTGATGGTGATCTCTCTATATATCTACTACAGCAAATTTAAGATTATATAAAATTATCCAAATTACTAAAGTTGATAAACAAAAAATTTTTTTTTCCACGATTAATAATACTATTATTTATTATTCATGGATTTAATAATAATAAGTAATCATAAAAAAAAGATACAAGAATCTTTTAATGGAACAGAATCACATTTGGAAATTAGAAATAAGGTAGAAAATTTGATAGATAAAACAGCTGTACTTGAAAGAGATGATGAAAAGGATGAAAAAAAACAGGAATAGTTTATCTGAACCCAATTATGTATGTTTGGTTTTAATTCATTGATTATTGATAATCAAAATAAAAACATTTATTTACCTAAGCACTGACCATTTTTTAACTCCACATATGTTTGTTTCCATAAGTGTTAATTTATTTTAACACTGGGATAGAAATTGCCATTTTAAGGTTTAGGGCTGGCATCTTCCTCCCTTTAAACCTTTGCTACTCCAATATTTTGTATTAGTTTTCATATAAAGATATAATTATCAAATAGAGATTGCTATTACAGGCAACTTTGCCACCACTGCCATGTATATTATATTTTTATTATTGAGTGATTATCTCGTGACATGTAAATGACAAATGTACATACTCCTCAAACTAAATCTTCTTGATCAAAATATTATTGTACAATTATGCAAAGGCTATAGACTCATCAAAAGCTTTAACTACTATTGCTTAATACTAACAATGAATAGCAACAATAGAAAGTAAACCAGAGTGATATCATTGTGTGAATGGAAATCATGCATGGTCTTGTAATTTAATTACTCAAAAAAATAGTTGCTTCATAGCAACAAACATGACTTTTGCATACCTAGCCAACATAAAAAAAAAATGAGTATTTGGATTGAGAATTAGGACATTTATTTAGCTTGATTTTTTAAATAAAAAAAATTGATGTTGATCATTTAAAGAATTGCAATTAATGTTTGCCTTTTTGTATTGTTCTCATGCTTCCCAAAAAAATTCAGTCTACTAACAAAGCTCTTTTTGCAGTTTGTTATAATTGCAATTATTTACAATCGTAATAACAGCAACTTGCAATTTGCATAACAATTACAATTACAATTATGCAAAAATTAATTGCAGAACAAGGAAAACAAGACAGCGGCAAAACAACCATTTACGAACGGATTGTTAAATTGCAAACTGACGCAGGAATTACTAGTGAAGACTTACAAAAACTTTTAGAAGCATAAATTACTCCTTTTTAAGAAATCAAATGGCAAGAATCTTCACGATCAACTCGAAATCTTAAAATGAAAATAAAAGTTGGGTGTAAGCATGTTAGCCGAAATTGCCTCTCTTAATAAATGATCATCACTGAATCCGAAATGCCAAAATAGTTGCCGAAATCAATTTTATTACTTGTCAAAATTATATCTCGAATTATTTGAATACTTTAACTCAATACTGAAATTCTGGGTAGTTTTTTTATGTCTATTGATATAAAGAATATTGTAAATCCAAAATTGCTTGCCAAAACTAATTTTTTCAAAAACAATTTCGGCCAACATCCTTAGTTGGGTGGTACCATTTTCATTCATTGTGTTTAAAATAATATTCACACTAGGTTTTTTCATAATTGTCCAGATTCATACCGATGTCTATCTCTTTGAGAACGTATCTGATTTCTTTGGTATTAGCCTCGCCCGTATTCCCATTCTCTTTATATTATCGCATTTATATATGTACACTTACAATTGTGCTTTACATTTGCAAGTCATGTGATTACATCCACCATTTTTCTGAATCAAAAAATTACATCTTGGGCACCGTTTCCACCCTTCCTTTTTTACTAAATTAATGACATCTAAATCTTCAGGCGATCTTTGATCAGCAGGTAAAGCTTGATATTCTTTACAGGTGAAACCTTAAAAATTCAATTAATTAATAAATGGTAAATAGTAATTATTAATAATATTAAATGTATCGGACGGATACTTACCATTATGCCAAGGAGAAACCTTACATTCGGGACAAAAACTTTTATGGCAAGATGGACAATTAACAGAACGAGCGCTACCATCATAGTCACTAAAATCAATAATCGTACTACATTTTTTATTAGGACAATAAACCTATTATTCAAATTAATGTAATTAACCAAATCAAAATTAATACAAATTAATACAAACCAATCAATCATCAATTAGTTTGTTAGGTTTACCTTCTTATCACCAATTGCCATTTCTGCCATCTTTCGATAGTATTTTTCAAGGTCTTCCCTACTTAAAGCTTGTTCAATAATTCCTTCTGAAATCCCATCTTTTTGACATGTGGCTGATTTAACTGGACACAAAATTGGAAATTTAATATTATCCCCTTGAATTTCTACATTAACATATTTTGATATACATAAAAAGCAAAACCCGTGCGAGCAAGATAGTATTACACCCATAGCAGCATCAGCATTATTCCTTGATGACCGCGATGAATTTGCACCACCGCCTCCACCTCTTCCAAGAATAATTAAGCTGCAAAAACATATACTACAATTATGATTATTTGATGATGATGATGATGACGACGACGATGATGATGATGATGACGACGACGACGACGATGGTGATAGTGGTGATGATGATGATGATGATGATGATGATGATACCCGATTCTTTCTTTGTCCTGTTAATTCAATTATATGTGAATTTTTTTGGTTAATTAGTATATGTATGTAACGTGAAACAATGAAGAAATAACTAAATAAAAAAAACCTTACTTTCTGATGGCTTATAATGCGGATTTGGTATGGATTGATAATCAATAAATAAATTATTGTTAATATTAATGTTTTATATGTTATTGTATAACAAGTGATTTTAAATTAATTGTATTTTTACCAATGGTTGAGTAAAATTATTGATTTCATATTGTTGAGCGGCAAGCTTTAAATTTCAAAAAATTAAAACAATTAATTTGTAGTTAATTAGTTCAATTAGTACAAGTAGGCGGTTCATATATATATATATATATATATATATATATATATATATAAATATTTACTATTTCTTGATCTATATTTATTTTGCCACCATTTTCACTATCATGTAATTGTCTAGCCAATTCCTCATCAGCAAGTAATTGAAGAGTTTTTTTATCCTTATAATTGTGATTAATTACCAATATTAATATTGATAATAATAACTAGTTATATATTAATTAATTAATGCATTTATTGTAACTCACATTTTCATCATCATAACTACTATTCCTATGGTATGGCGGTGCAATGAACTCTTGATTAACAAACAATCTCTCGGTATTATGATGCATATTAACTTCCTCGTTACTCTGTAATTGTATAGCAAGCTTTTCATCCTCGAGATATTGGACAACTCTTGCATACTTTAATTGAATCATAATTAGTATTATTTAATTAGATGATGTTTTAATAAAGTTTATTTTATGTTGTAAAAATTAATAATTATTACTGTAATTATTAATTTTTTATTAATTAATATACTAACTTCTTCATCATCCGAACTTTTTTTTTCTATTTTTTCTGAAATTTGTATCAACTTTTTTGAATTTTGTTTTTCTAATTAGTAAGAATTCATTATTTAGATGTAGATAAATGGACGAATGACTCACTTCCTGTTTGTAACGATCGATTCTACCACTTGTTGTATCATTAAAAGCTGCAAATGCCAACCTTTCATTGCTAAGTACTCTGGTAATTCGTTTCAACTTTATATATGATGATAATCAATTTCTATTTTACACCAAAAAAAAACCATTTAATTATTATCACCAACCTCTTGATCAAGTTTTGTAATTCTGGCACCTGTCTCATCATTATATCTTTTCCTATTTTCTTCCTCAAAAAGAATCCTACTACCAATTTCTCTTAACTTTTTTTAAAAACATATTGTTATTATTGCTATTATAGTAAACAACCATCAACAATAATTTCAAAATTGTTTTACTTTTTTAAGCTGTTGATCATTTTTCTCGTTATTTGGTGATCTTTGTTGTCCATTTCTATCGACAATCCTTTGAATAATGTTAATTATACCGTTTATTCTTTCGGTGTTGCCTGAAACCGTGTCAACAACCTTCACAACGATAATTAATAATTATTAGTGTAAATTATAATTGAAAAAAGAATCAATTAACAATTGGTAGTTATTAAACCTGTGCATCTCCATTAAATTTTTTAGTATTAACTTGCTGAATAAATTATTAATCGTTAATAGTAAATTATTATTATTGTTTGTTCATTGATAAAATCAATCAATGAATTAATCAGATAATTTGTTTTACCCTGGATGCTAATAAAGAACCAAGTAAACCAATTGTTTGCTCTAAGTCCATTTTGTTTTAAAAAAAAATTTAAGTTTTAAAAACAACAAACAACGAAAAATGTTTAGAAAATAATATATATATTTTTTTCTATTAATTTTTCATTGGTGTTTAGTCAAACAAAAACAGTTACAAAAGAATTTGTTTTTATGCCTTTTTTTGGCTTCAATAAATTTTGTGAAGTAAATGAAATAATTAATTTGGGAATTGTTTTGACGTAAATATTTTTAAAAAAAACATCACACGGTTTTTTTTTATCATCAATAAAAAATATTAGACTGAGAGTAATTATCACGATTCTTTATTTGACGCAAGTAAAAATAATTTAAACCTGCTTAGCAATTTAAATTTAGCGATTTTTTAAGTATTAATTTTTTTGATTGTTTATATATATTAATATTGTTCACATTAAGAAATAGTATGATGTAATTTATTTTTACATTTGAAAAATTAAAAAACCATTTTAAAAATATCGGATTCTTTATAAAATTTCAATCCTTTATGACGCGAATAAGCTGTACTATTATAAATCGTGTTTTGGTTTAATGTGATGAATGAATGACATTTTTCTAGTTCATAGACGGATCAGGAAAATATATTATTATTATTATTATTATTAGGATCATGATCACGTTTATGATTATTTCTTTTTTCTTTTTACAATCTTAATCATTTCTGTAAATGATATCAAGATTTATTTTTAAACTAAAGAAAAACGGATTTCAGAAATTCTTATTTTATTTTAATGACAAACCAACATGAAATCGTATCTTTAACAATTTTGTGAATTTGTAACCAAAAGCTATTAATATTCTATAATGCGTGAATTTTTCTATGAGAATTATATCCAGTAATGGACATGTAACTGTTATATGATATCAAGAAATAGTTGTTATATTGCTATAAAAAAATATGTTAAACGGTTATTATTATTTATTCTTTTTATTGCATACAAAGGCTTCTAGATCTGTTAACCAATTTCTATAAGCATCCATAAATTTTCGGTTTTAAGAGAAACAGGATCTAATGTCAACGGAACAATTTTTTCTAATGGTTTAAAAGGCATAATCACCACATAGACAAAGATCTAATCGTTGAACATCCATATTTCGTGATATATCTGTGCGACTCTTAATGCATATTAATATGTGCACTTTCCACCATATATCGATACATTCACTCGTCTTCGTTTCTCGCCGCATTCCAAACTTTGGTTTCCATAGATCCAGGCCTCTGCTTATAATTTCTCCAAGCTTATTGTATAATTCCTGCATGTCCAATATCGGTTTTAGGTCTGGAACACTCGTGATTCCAATGATCCTGCATCAGGTCTTTAGGTTCAACAATTTCCGTAAACATTTTCCTAGGCTTTACATTCACATTAACGCGACCTACCTTCCAACACCCGGAACAGATCGCAGTTCCATTCTTAAGTGTTTTTGGTCTGTAGTAATTGCTGTAATTATTATAATCTACAAACCTACCTCCGGAATAAGAAGCAAATAAGCAATATCTATGATACGTACTAAATTTATTCTCGCTTAATAAATTTTGAAGATTGACCCTTGCCCATAACCTCACTGAATAAAACTTTCATCCTGTTTCACAATAGGCAAGTTGTCGTATGATCTTTTAAATCCCAAGGAGTTTACCATCATAATGAATATAATTGTGGATATATGCCATGTCATACTTCATATCATATCCAGGACGGTTATTAAAGGGTTTGGGTAATGGTTGTTTTGTTACCGAGAATAATAGTGATATCAAAACCAGACATATTTAGCGGTTATAATAAATTTAATGATTTATATGTGATTTATTAACCTGTAGTTTAAGGCCACATGATTCATTTTGTGTAATCCTGTTCGAATCATTTTGATAATAATAAAAATAATAAAGCAAGAAGAGAATTCTATATTAATAGTAATCTAAGCCATGTGTAGTCAATCCAAGTTTAGAGTCCCTGCATATAGTCGCACAAAAATACACACGATGTGGATGTTCTATGAACTTCGAATTAGCTCGATGACACATGAAAACACAAAAAGTAATGATTACGGGTGTATGTGTATATATATCAACCAAAGAATTTGAATGTCATGTTAGCTTGCTAGTTCCACTAATATTAATATTGTCTATGTTCTACGAGATTATACCGCTAAATTATTTTCTCATAATATAAAGCTTTTCGATAAGAAAAAATACAAATGACACAAAAAGGATATGAATGAGGAGATTTTATTGTTCTTTATCAGTAAATAATACTACATAGAATCTGGCTCATTAAAATTCATGTGTTATGGGAGTTGAGATCTCCGCCGTCTTCGAGATCGTCTCATTTTTCATTCTATAAAAGCAATCGGCAGATTGAAAAGGTTTAATTTTCCCATGAATGATGAAGTTAGGCAAAGTCAAGAGGTCTATGACACATATATTCAGTGCTTAGCACTTGTGATTCTAATAGAATTGTTTTATGAGGCAAAGATCAGAGAAATGGTCAGGATAACGTAATTACCAATCATGTATTTCTTTCTTCTAGCAGATTCTCAGATTTGGCGAATGAAATAATATAAAAAAGCTAGATTTGCGAGGCATCATTTCTCATCTTCCCGAAATTTTTATAAGGTAATGTATGTTCATTATTATGCATTGTTCATGACAAAGCCCTATCTATGAAAGAGAAATTTTATTCATCATGGGTTTTCGTATTTAAGAAACGTGAAAAATGACCAACGATATTACTCTCAATTGTCTTGCTATTCCTAATAGCCCACGTAATCAACTTTCAATCAATAGTGTTGTACTCACAATTACGACCTTCAGAGATGCAACGGTTGATGATCTCCAAACCGCAATTCAGAATCAATTTGTCGCCTCCATTTAATAATATTCTTCTTGATATTCGTCAAATTTATCATCCTGTAAGTGTAGATGAAAGATGTATGCGGTCACCAGCTCTAATCTCTAGTTTTTTTCAACGAGGATCCTTCTAGCATACTCCCTACGTGAACCAGAGAATGAATAATTAGATTTTTTTTATTTGTATATTGTCGTCTCTGCAACATTTTTTATTTCATAAAATAAAATAAGATTCTATAAATAACCATTTGTCTTGATCAAAATTATGTTCGATTCATGTTTTTTATCTGAGATTAATTCGGAAAAATTGAAGTCATTCATTCACATAGATATATCAAATATTGTCTCGCAAATCTAGAAATAATAGGCAACATTTACAATTTCAGAATCGGGAGAAGTATATATATGTCATGGAAGGTGGAAATATAACTATTGCAAATAAGAACACGCAAGTCGTGACGGAGGTTAGACAGAAACTAATTTTAGCAAGGTTCAGTAAAACACGGAGGTTAGAGGTAGGTTATTAGAGGTTAGTGGAAAGTGGTTAGGAACAGGGAAAACACGGTGGTTGGGATTTACTAATCGGTAAGTCTCGGAAAATAGAGTTGTGAGGGAAGACGGTATTTGATTATGGAGAGGTATATAGGTATCTAAAGGCTAATAATAATTTCGATTCGAATATTCTCAGCAAAGCTAGTAAGGATAATATATATAACAAATAATTTATATGTACTTTACTTTTTTTAATAAAATAATTAATATTGAATTATATTCATATGGTACTCTAAATTTTAATCTAAAATAAAATAACCTGCCTGGCTGGCATTATCAATAAAATTTCCCTTTATTATATATAAACCTGAGAATCGTTTTTTTTATTTGAATTCATCTTGTATGATTATTTTCCATACTCAAGTAGTAGATCCTTCAAAGACTTTGGAATTTTTAACACATCCCGAACTATATTTCTTCCATTATGATCGACTATTAGGTCAAGATTTTTCATAATTGAAATTTGTTTCATGATTTCTTCCTGAAAATCACAAAAGTATGTGAGTGACTAAAGATCAACAAATTATGATTGCATAATTTTACTTACATGAAAAATTGCCATCAGATAAAGAATTCCCTTGTACTTCGATATGGCATCAAGTGAAAATGGTAACAATGTAGAATATAGTTCAGACGTCAGGAAAGTGCCATCATTTAGCATGTTGAGCGAGTATAGTGTCATACAATATTCTAATGTTCAATTAAAATATTAAATTACGAAACCAATACTTAAATGTCTCTTTTTAAATAAATATAAAATATTTGCCGATCACTTGTAAACTAAAAACTTTAATTTCAGTTGCATTTTCTACTGGAACTCTGAGGTGATCAAGCAGGATCGCAATTAGGTTTAAAATATCAGTATGTAGAGATTTTTTTGTATTGTTAACAGCATTATTATCTGATGGTGGTGATGGCGGGCCTGACACTTCTACATGGAAAATTTCCTTATTATCGAATAACCTGACACCTTTCAGGATTGTTGGAATAATCAAGTAATTATTATTGGATAATAGGTTAAAATTGTAAATATACATTATTACATACCTCTTGCATCGACCTTAACAATACCAGAGTTTGTAGGCGACTTTGTTAATTTTGACGCCGGCGAGTGTGATTCAATCCAGTCAAAATAAATGTTTCCAAACGTGACTTCGTAAAATTTGAATAAAGAAGAAATGTTTTGAATAATATACTTTCGTTCTCTGATTTTCCTTGACAAGTTTGGAAATATATCGACCATATTATAACTAAAATCAGGAACAAGGTTAGGCTTCAAATTATCTGAAGGATAACAATAAATGGGGAAAAAAACTTACAAGTCCATTAATATTTTTTCGTAATATAGGCAAAACCTGTTGTCTAAATCACCTTCAATTTTTTGCATTATTTTAGACTTGAAATTATCTCCAGAGTTCTGTAACACGATTACAAAGATGCTTAAACATTTATTGGCTTCCAATCTAACATTAATTAATTAATATTGTGAATACACACTTTCAAAACATTATCCATATAAATATTTAGTGATTCCGTCCACACAGATGGTTTTTGAACCATAACTTAGTTATATTTTAACGATTGCTTCATTGCACTAAGATACTGAATGACCTTTTTATCACTCATCTTTCGCTTGTTTGGAGTAAGAGAAAGTGAATCTTTATCATCATCTTGAGGTTTAGGAGGTAGTGTCTTGAACTCATCTTCGTCATTTCGAGGGTTAGAAGATGGTGACTTGAACCCATCTTCATCGGTTTTCTGAGAAATCATCTGGTTATACACTTGTATATTCAGTTTTAATTTGTAGAGGTCTTCTTTCACACTCACAAGATTTTTTGTTGAATCCACGAGAATTTTTGTCACGTTCATCCTCACCTATCAAATGAGATAGTATTTATATGAGTATATACAGGGTTGGGATTCGTACTCGTACACGTACACGTATCGTACAAGTACGTACGTACGTACGAGCTTAAAATTTTTTAGTACATTGTACGAACATATCATGTGATTTATGACAATTTTTATTGGTTGATAAATGTAATACACATTATATATATATATATATATATATATATATCCTCAAAAAAAAAATTCATAAATTGAAAATTAAAAAGGACAATGTATATCGTTTTTTAATATAACTTCCAATTTCCATTTCCCATCGGAGCTTGTTGCTGGATGATCAATACTTTGAACATCTAAGTTATAAAATTCATCATCTTCAATGTTTATAAGCTCATTTAGAGATTCATTTTCTTCTTCTTGAAGAATTTCTATCCACTCACCCAAATTATTATTAAACTGTGCAATTACATCTGCTTCTAAACTATTATTATCCTGTTCATCATTTTGTTCACCCAAATAACTTTCTTCATTTAAGTTAGTATTTACATTTGAAGATTCGGCTTCCAATATCATTTCTCTTTCAATGCTATTCTGTTCTTCTAAATTTATTTCTTTATTTGATAAAGAAAGTTCTTGTTGAAGAAGTCGATTATATGTAATGCCAGCCTTCAATTTTGCCATTTCTAAGACTCTAGTGAACTACATATAGTAAAAGAAATAGTCAAATTTTAAAAAGAAAATAATTTACTATATTAATGTAAATAAAACTATATTTTTACCTCCAATCTATTTCGATTTTTTGAATGAAAAAATCCCATACTACTCCACAGTCGTTCTACTGAAGCTGCATTAATACAAATACCAAAAATACGTGCTGCAACAATTCCAATTTCTGGATAGGCATCCTGAACCCAGCACCAATATTTGTGAATATTATTTTCAAACTGATCAATGGAGGCATTATCAAAAGGATATTTTCTTCCTTGTGAAAAATCATAAAATTCATTAAGAATAGTTTTAGGTTCTTTTCCAGTCCATATCAAAAGGATATTTTCTTCCTTGTGAAAAATCATAAAATTCATTAAGAATAGTTTTAGGTTCTTTTCCAGTCCATGCTTTATAATAATAAACAAGCCACTTCCCCATGTGTAAATAACTTATTTTTGATATAGAAGCAGAAGTGAAATAGTTTGATTTGTAAACAGGATGAAGAAGCCAAGAAAGAATGAGAAGAGGTTGTTCCCATAAACTCCATCTATTTTCCAATCTTGATAATATTCTACTGGCCAAGAGTTCATCAGAATAACTTTTCCAAAATTGATACAAATATGCATAACAATGTAAAACTTCATATAATCTTGCCTTGTCACTTTGTAGTTTATTCAAAATATTGCAATAAGGAATCAAAATTTGATCCAATTTTAAAAGTTCGTCCCAAAAAGATTCATTCATTATAATACAATACATTTCATGTGAAATTTTCAATGTATTCGTTGATGAAGAAGGATCAAATTTTATTGCCAAAGACTATGTAAAAAATAATTGTCAATTATTTTATTTGAATCAAAACTACTATTTTGAAAGATTGTAAAAATAAATAGAATAACTTACACGTAAAGCATTTTTAGTAGCAATTAAACTTTTAAAGCAATTATGTTGACTGTTCCACCTGGTATTACATGGAAGTGCAAGTTGAATATATTTGCTATAAAGTTCTTTTTGAATATCACGAAGTTGGCCAATGAAATATTTATGTCTAGCATCTTTAAAATAGGCTGACACTTTTAAGGCATTGCCTGATGTATTTTTGAACTCAGATGAAATTTTAAAAATTTCCCCTACACACAAATTCACCTGATGGGCAAAACATGGTAAAAAAACAATATTTCTATGTTTAAGTCGTAATCTTGCCCTAATAATTAAAGATTTATATTATAAATCAATAAAATATTCAATGATAGTTTGAGGCAATGAGAAAAAATTAATATGCACTTGCCTTGATGCATTATAGGAAGGTGCACTATCAGTTACTATTGATAACAATGTTATTTTCATATCTATTAATTTGGAAATTAATTCTTCAGTTTTAGTCATAACTTCAAACATTGTATCACGTTCACTACTGATATCCATAGCTTGCCATACACATGGTTCTCCATCTGACATCAAAAGAACACATCCCATTAATTCTTGTTGCCTAACATTCGTCCATCCATCAAACATAAGTGTGACACCTATTTGATCTAATCTTAATTTTTCTAACATGACATTATCATATTCTTTAACTGCATCATTCAATAGTTTAGTGGAAAGGGTTTTTCTATCTGGTAGTTTGATATGTGGGTTGAGAAATTTAAATAATTCTGTTGTTTCTTGATTATTCACCCAAGATAATGGAAAACCACAAGAAATAGTGGCTTTTAATATAAGTTTATGAAAAACTTCATTATCTGCTTTAGATAAAGGTCTGGCAACAAAATTATCTAAAGGACCATAATTAGATGATTGAGACGAAGTAGAATTTGATCCTAATAGAAAAGAAATTAATTCATGTAATAATAAATAAATTGTTAATTAATAAATTATTAATTAAATAAATTATTAATTAGATAAAATAAATTATTAATTAATTAAATTATTAATTAAATAAATTAATTTACTTTTTCTTTTTATTGTATTGTTATTATTATCATTATTATTACTATTACCAAGAGCTAGTATTTTAAGTTTTTCTTCTTGGCTATACACAACATGAAAATTTTGACAATCATTAAAATGTTGAATTATATGTTCAGTTTTATCTACTATTGTTTTTAATTCATTGCTGTTTTCACCAAGTTTAATAAAGCAAGCTTTGCAGTAACATAATTTGTTACTAGAACCACTTTTTTGTTTTGTTTCAACAATGTAATTTTTCAAAGCTTTAACCATTGGAATAAAAGAATTGTGGAATTAATGACTGTATACACTTGAAAGATATGGTTATGTTTTCAACAATTGATAACAATTAACGAATGTGTAATTTTTTTATTATTCATTATATACTCTTAAAAAAAAATATATAAAAATCATGGAATATACTTATACTATTACTATAATAATAATAATAACGTACCACAGAATACAACAATCAGTTTGATAATCAAGTGTTACAACATCTGGTAATAGTAATCCGTTAATTGTAATGATATTGTTATAAGATTTTACGGTGTAATATTTTATCACTGCAGAAAATAATCGTTTCTGATAAATCGTACATTCGTACATTCGTACGTATGTACATATGTAAAATTTCCTCGTACAGGTGTACGGCCGCAACGAAACTGTACGAACTCAATGGTACGAAGTCAGTCGTACGTATGTACGTACGTACGTACGTACAAAGATTCTTCTCGTACAGCGAAATTTCACAACCCTGATATAAACATGTGTATATCATTATTACATTGTAAAAATCAAATCACAAATACTTGCTCAACCCTTGCAATTTTTTGGTCTATTTATCATTATATGTTTTTTGGCCATGAAATAGTTATTTTATTAAAAATAGCATCATTAATCATGAATGCTTTGCATCCAATGCTAATTTTGATGCTCCAAACGAATATGTATATGACACCAAAGAATATCTATGAAAATTTAGAATGGCCCAAGAGAATGTTTCTACATTGGTATTACAAAAAAAATATGGAACAATTGTCCTATTTATATGTTTCAAATAGGCTATTATCTTGACCAAAGTGATTGCGTTCTTTTTTTTCCACTCATTATTATTATCATGTGACAAAAGATCAGCCATACAAAATTAAAAATTTCAATTCATCCAATTTGTTCATTTTTAATATAAAAAAATTGTGTGTAACATGCAATTTTTGGGGGTTAACATAGTAAACTTGTGAAACTTTGAGAACTTTGATGTGTCACTCCTCTATGGTAACGTGACATATCAACAAAATGAAATCATAGAATTGTAGAGAAAGGTCTTAGCTTTAATTCTATGATTTGTTTTTTGGGTCATACATTTCCATTTTTGGAGAGGATATAGGAT